CGAAAACTAGATTTATATACCTATACGCAAACTGTTACTAGAGTACAAGCATTTTAAAATATGTTTCTATTTTGTCACTCTTTTTGATTTATAATACCAACTTTTTCTGGACAATATTTGAGTAGGTTTTCATGACTATCAGATATTATATGAAAGAAAATATATTCAATTTAAAAAACCTTTTCTAATTTATAATATACTAGTAAAAAAATCTTCTAGTTAATAACTTTCATTGGGTGCAGTCGGTTTTATTTTCTCAAAATAATAACTCATAAACCACGGCGTGGACTTCAATAATAAAATTTTTCTCAAGGATTTTTATATTTATTACAAAAATATCTGATACAACGTGTTTATGTTTCTCTATTCTGTACAATACTTGAATATTGGGTATTTTTTTATTACAATAAAGTATTTACTTTATCCGAGGCTTAATGTTGTAGATATATGATGTCTGTTTATTTACGTATTCACGATTTGAAAATAGACGACAATGGTGTTAAATATTTAAAACGTTCTTTCGTTTATATCTTTCAGAGGTTTAATTTATTCAAATGAATCGACTACAACTGAACTGTTTTCAATTTTTCATTCATAAAACTATTTTTTTACTACGCATATTATATGCGTGTTTTTATTAAAGAAAAATGTGAGACGCTTCGTATTTAGAATGTTGATGTAAACTTATCACGAGGTTGCATACTGTTCTTAATTAAAATAAAATACAAAAGTATATACAGGGTGACTGGTGAATTACTATCAATATTTTAGGAGAATACTCGGTACATGATTCTCATTCGAATTATGTAAAAAAATAGGCACTTAATTTTTGACAAAATTTCCGTATAATTAAATAAAGTGTTGACACGTACCAAGTGTTCTAAGTGTGGACGCGTGCGGCGGCGTGCTGATACAACACAACGCCGCCGCACGCGTATGTGTGTGTGTGTGTGTGTATACCTAATCTGTAGGGTGTTCACACGATGCGTAATTAATTACATAACTTTTGGTTAACTTTACTTAGAAGTTTATTAATATTTATGTTATATTAATTTTTATTTCGTCATATATGATCGTCAAATATCACGTCCTCAAATATCGATAGTAATTCACCAGTCACCCTGTATATATATATGTATATCATATGCTCGTTAAAACTGCATTAATTTCAATGTCGCTGTTAGTAACAGATGGCAAGATCCATCTCGGGATGAGTTTTAAACGAGATCAATCTACTGCACTTCACTTTACGAAGTTATTAAAACTTATTTATGTATTCTATGATAAGATTTTACAAAGTTCACTTAGAGAACCCAATACAAAAAACATATAGATTAGCCTGTATTTAATTCAACTTATATTTTCTAATGTAATTTGTAAAAAAGGCTTATTCATTTTATATCTATTGTTCCCTTTTAAAATTCTCATTAATTTTGCTTACGTATTTATATCTTAACATCATCTGTATTAATTAAATTAAAATTTGATGGTCAAGGCTATATAATACTATCAGATAATTAGCTTTCATAATGACCATACATTCCTACTTATAAGTATACAAGATTATGTGGAAATTGATGAGACCATTCTAAATCACGACATTGATCTTGACGTATTTGAAAACTACAATAAAGGTTTTGAATTTAATGCTTTACATAACTGTGATATAATCAGCAGTTCAAAGGTCACAGAAAAATATAAATAAGTCACGAGAGAATAAAAAAAGCGTAAATGACCGCTGAAAAGTACGTAATTTCTTTGCTATAGAGTCGTGTAGATATTATAATTATTTAGTTAGGTTTGTTGGGCGATAATTTGTCAAGGAATACAGTCTTCTGAAAGGGGATCAAAATATATATCTTTATATATATCCCGAGACTTTCACAATAATCAAGATCTAAGGGATCTGTGACGTCAGTTATGCTGACGTCACTCTTTTAAAATCGACGAAGTGACAATGGTACTGAATTTTTTTAGGATAATAATTCGGAAACGATTGATTGATTTTAATAAAACTATCGTACCGTAGATTACAGTTAATATATTATATTTAAAAAAAACTGCGGGAAGAATTATGGTTGCTGCAGTAAGTAGTGTATTTAAAATGTCATAATATTTTTTTAAGTTAGTTTTTATTTAATTTATACTACGTCGGTAGTCGGAACCCATTGTGATCTTACAATACCAGAGGTAACACCGCTTCTCAAGAATACTTAACAAATTATCTTGAATTATATGTAAAATTATAATTACTTTTCGACACGTGAGAGGAAAAATTATTGTTTGGTATAATTTTAAATATGACGTTTTTTGATATAGTTTTAGCGTCCTTATCAAAGTCATAAGACGAAATCAAACCGGTTGTGAATTAGCAAGGATGTACGTAAATGCAAATTTTATAACTAATTAAAAGCATTTGCAAAATTTACAATCTTTTATAATATATAGAATAATTGAAGTAAAATTAGAAATATTTAAAATATATTATATATTTAATTTATATATTACTTAATATGATTTTATTATATACGTGTATATTAAAATTTTCCTTCACTACCTCTTTACAACAATTTTCCTATTAATATTTACAACCTGTGAAGGCCACTTTGTCAATTACGTTGTGTTTTACATAAGTTATAGGAAATATTCTTTTTTTTTTTTATTTAAGTCTGTCATTATCTATAATTTTTCTAAATTATTATATACGAACAAAGAATATTAAGTATCTTCTTGTCTTTTTACTGCAGCAACATTTGATAGATGTGTATTTTAAAATGGCCGCCGCTGTTTAAAACATTTTTTAACGTTTACAAAACATAACTTTCTAGATATAACTGTAAATTTCTTGGATGATAATAATCCCTTATGTTGTAATCTTAAGAGTAAAAAGTTTTTTTGTAGCTTGAGTTTTATACTGTTGATTTTTATAATTTATTGCGCATTTATTTCTTTACACATTCATGACGTATGTATAAAAAGGTTTTTATGTGTGTATTTTTTATAAGAAAATTTAAAAAACAAAAGCGTATCTATATATTTTGGGATATTGTTGAATAAAATGACAGTTTTGGGGTCCCGATAAAATTTTTTTAAGTCTTTGAAAAAGCGGAATTCCCGTAAAGTGTAATCTAATGAATAGATTTATTTTAATTGTTTTTTTTTTTTACTTAAAACTTAAAAACTGGAGCTGATTATTAGCTGCAGCAAAAAAGGCATCGTCTATACTCTAAAAACTAGTTTTATATGAGTGTCACAACAAGCGTTCATAATAAGCTTTAGAAATCAAAGGCTAGGAAGAAATACTAATTCAAAATGCGACTAAATCACCGCTCTATGGGGCTCACCATAACAATTAAGAGGAGAAGAAGAAGTTAAGAGAAGCGTCTAGCCAAAGGAAGTGGAAATATATCGTAAAAAAGTATCGAGAACGTTTCAGGGGCACAATCTTCAGTAATAAAGAAGAAGAAATTGTAATACTTATGATACATTTTAATTGAAAGTCATATGACAGAGTATTCATTTTTTATATGATTGCTAAAGCCAAAGTTATTACACCTTTGAGTTTCAATAAACACGTAAATGCTGTCGAATACTAGAAGGGAGCAGATGTATACATGTTTTGTTTGTTTATTTGTTTGATATATTAAATGTAATAGACCAACACTAGACTCCAAACATCCAAAAAAGCTGATAATCAATGATATTTTCTATAGTATTAACTGTCGTTTAAGAATAATTAATTATTTATGTATTTAAAAACTCCGAGAACATTTTACAAGTTTCCCATTAATCCTACTAGTATTTTAGCAGTTGTCTTATTTATGAATGGATGTGGTTTCGATGTAGTATATCTTGTTCTATGGAAGCATATGTTTTTGTTATTCATTTATATTGACACCAACCAATTTGGTAAAAGTTAACAATAGTGTACATACGAGAACGCCGTGAAGACGATACTTTGAAAGCATTCTTTGAGATGTTTATTTTTTTTACGGAATCCTGTTTACTTTTTCGGTGGTGATTTATGATTAATTGTTAAGATATTAACGAACTTATTATTAGATAACTCTCGAATTAAATATATTTTTTGTAATATAAAAGGTTATATTACAAAAAAATGCTCTTGTGATGCTCAGTGCTCTTAATACAATTATGTATTTTCAATTTTAAACGAAGATTTAGACGTTTTTCATTCATAAATTCAACTGTTAGTAATGAAATATTAGCTACAACTGAGAGTACTAAGTAAAAGATCAAATTTGTTCTACCGGTACTGATAATATAGTTATTATTATGTGAACAATTATCTGTAAACCTGCTCACTGTGTATTTTCCATAGTAATTAAACCTAGATACAAACTAAACAATCATACTCAAGGCCATCTGATATTATAATTAAATAATATCTATGCCATTCAATGGACACAGATAAAAAAATTACAGATATTAAATAGTAATTAACATCAAAAAGATAACATATATATGTAAGGAGGTTTATCAACCAAATTCTCACCTTTATATTTACTTAATATATCAAACAACGAACAGGCAGTAACATTTTTTGTTCAACAATCAGTGAACGAAATACGACAAACAAGTTATTATAACAATATATATATAAATGAATTTGACCACAATGATGAAGACAATGAACTAACGTCATCATTAACAGTCATCTAGGTATTTATTTTCAATTATTTAATATGATATGATTATATTTTTATTGCAAATCATTGTTATAAATATTGCTTTGTTAACGAATTTTGGTTGGGATTTCCGTTTACCCAAAATAGAGAAGTATGTGTAACTGCGCATGCGCATTCAATAACAATATAAAATTTTACACCTGCTACCGTAGTTTCATTGAAAAATAGTTATCATATTTTTATTTACACAAATACGTTAAATTTTAAAGTTATAAATAGTTTGGATCAAAACTAATGTGTGATTGTGGGTAATTTTTACAAAATGGTGCTTATAAATGAACAAAAAATTTGGACTAACCGTTTCCGTTCATGGTGTTGTGGTTATCCATATTTATGGTTGTATCGATATTTTCGTTTGCCGACTCGATGTCGATAACAATCACGTCACTAGCCGCGTGCTGTTCGCTCGACGCTGGCATTGCAACTAAACGGCCTTTTGTTCGTGCACTTGTAAAAGGTCAATGAGAGTATGTTTTAATTTAATATCCGGAGTTTATGGCGTCTGTATCACGGCCATGTTTTGTTTTGGACAAGTGGATTTGGTAATAAGATCAAAACAATTATGCCAGTTAATGGAATCATAATCTTAATACAATTGGAAATAAATTGATAGTTTCGTGATACAGTTACACTTTTATTTTGTAATATTTATGCTATATTTAAAGTGCATTGTGCTTAGTAAAAAAATATAGAGGATTGTCATCAATTTTTTCCCACTCAAATTTTCATTTAATAACTTCTGCTATAAAAATTATAGGACTTGTTATATAATGGACTCTTCATATTTATATATAATAAAAATATATAATTTCAATTAATTGTACTAAAATTAAACTAATACTTGTTCATATGAATTAACACAATATTAAAAACTGAAAACGAACATTACGGTTATTTAACTGCGATAAATTAGTAATTCATTTAAATAAAACTAATATTTACGGATTAACTATTGGTTTTTTTATTATTTAAAACCACATACTTTGATGTTTCGGTTACTTTGCAGCAACCGTGATCACGAGCAAACAAGATTGAAAAAATTAAGTAGTTTAAAAAAAAGAGGGCGTAAATCTGAAAGTATTTCTTTTATTCCAATAACTTGGGTAACATGAATCATGGTAGGTACCTACTAGTTACATAGAGGTAACATGAACCAGTATATAATTAGTTCAAGTATGTTATTAGTATTACGTCTTACGATTACGTTGATAGATGTAAGTAGATGTTATGATAGTACTTATAAATAAATCGAATCATACTGTGGGGATATTTACTTGAAGATAGCTTTACCTTTACTCTTTCTATTTGGCGCCTAAAAGATAAAAGTAGAGAAAACTTTTAAGGATGTCGATCGTACAATAAAAGAATTATGTGATCCAGTTTTCATATTTCTTTCATTATTTATTTTTATCTGTGGACTCCGCGTTCGAATGCACTGATGATTTAGGCTTAAAACATACTGTTGCAAGTATTTGAAGTAAAATCTGACTATACGCAACTTTATTTAAAATCATTAATACAATTTGAAGTGGATTAATAAAATAAACAAATTAATGAGTATTTCTTATGTTATTCTGTAAATCGAATTCATGACAAATACCTAATCGATAATTGGTACATATAAATATAAGTACATCAAAAATGATTTAATTATACAAAAGAAACTCGTGTCAGTTACACTATTTATAACTGAAAAATGGCTGGACGGATTTGACTGGAAATTGGTGGAGAGATAGCTTAGAACAAGAGAAAGGATAAAGGATACTTTTCATCCGATTGAAAAAGAAAATAAAATAAGTTGATCAAATCCAAAATCTCCTCATCTACTGTCTTTAAGGAGGAAAAGAGTTCGCCCAGTCAGCTGTAAATTTCTAATTCTGAAACTAAGACAGATAAAGTTACGAGCAAAAACTAGTTTATATATATGTATATACATATATTGTTTCTATATAATTAATATTAATATTATAATACATTAATTAATGTGTGAAACCAGATAAAATAATTATTAATTACGAAACATTAAATACTTATTTATGTTTGCGTTTGTGATTTAATTGTTTCAGTAAATTGTACGGCTAATGGTGTACTTTATACAATCTAATTATATTAAAGAGAAATTTTAATTGTATAATAAAACGAGAAAGCGCATTGTCAAGTATAATAAGTATAAGATTGTGGAATATTACTAAAGATAATATTTAATTTTAGTCCACAATAAATACTCTAGGTTACATAAAGGTAATTAAAGATTAAAACTAAGGGTAGCTATCGTACAATCAATTCAAAGATTTTAATTTCACCTTAATTTCAAACTAAAAGAACCTACTTTTATGTGATAAAATTTTGCCATATCTGTTAATTTTATTTAATGAAAAAAAAAATTACTTTATATTCATTATTTGGTGTTTAGTCTTGTTTTTATTTTTCATAGTATTTCTAGACTTTAGTTAATTTAGTATTTGAGATAACTTTGTTGCCAGTCTAATAAAATATTATTGCCACCTACTGAGAATTATAACATAATAAAATACTTTGTAAAGTATTGCCTTACTGAATAGTTTTCTTAACGAAATTACAAACGACATGGTTATTTATAGAAATAATATAAATTGCTTATATATGTATATAATATATATAATTAATCTATCTTCAAAGTTCAATCTGTATTAGTAACTTTGTCACGCAACCCCAAATTGTTATGTAAATTACGATTATACTTAGTTAAAAATCTATGATTAACTGATAAATATTTTTGTAAGCACTAATGACATAATAATTATAGAAAAAAAATATTCAAAATATAAAAAGGAGTGATACAGACTCTGATAATAATTTTATTTATTAAACACAGCAGCCGCTTATGAAGGCCACTATGAAAAACTACTATTTATGTATGGGGTTTTGCTTTAATTGAAATTTTATTAATTTAATAACAAAGAATATATATTTTTATTTTCACGTTTCTAAACAGATGTCGCTTAAAATTATCGAACTTAATCAAAAGTATTCTTTTGAACCATTTATATACAGGGTGACTGGTGAATTACTATCGATACTTGAGGACGTGATATTTGACGATCATATATGACAAAATAAAAATTAATATAACATAAATATTAATAAACTTCTAAGTTAAGTTAACAAAAAGTTGTGTAATTAATTACGCATCGTGTGAACACCCTACAGATTAGGTATACACACACACACACACACGTCGGCGGCGTGGTGTTGTATCAGCACGCCACCGCATGCGTCCACACTTGGAACACTTGGAACGTATCCACACTTTATTTATTTATACGGAAATTTGGTCAAAAATTAAGTACCTATTTTTTTTACATAATTCGAATGAGAATCATGTACCGAGTATGCTCCTTAAATATTGATAGTAATTCACCAGTCACCCTGTATAACGACAGTTTAATATCTTCTTATACTTGTATAAAGTTGTGGCTGTGTATTTAAGACCATAGTTAAAAAAGGTATACTAAAAATTATGACATATATTTTTGTATTATTGCAGTGTGTATAACTCTTTATGAAAAAAATTGAACCTTGTACAGTAACCTTCATTACTAAAGCTGTAATTTTAGTAACAATTAAGAGTTAAAAAAAATCATATAATTTTATAACATAAACATCTCACGTAGAGATTTTGTTTCAATTTTAGTGTTGTCTCAATTTTTCACAGGAATATGCATTATTCAAAGTGCAGTTTATTAATCGTAATACTATCTGTATTCCAATATTGGCTGTATAAGGACGACAAGTTCTACCGGTATTTGCCGACCCTACAACCTTCTTATATAATGTCTTACGTAATGTTAATGATTTCTCAATTAATTTTTAGGATTACTTGTAATTTATATACATAAACTATTATATTTAAAACAATGGGTGACACATTGTCATTTATCGATTATTGAAACTCCTTTTATATTCTGTATAACAGAATTATGTTTTTAATATTTTAAGAACATTAAAATATCATATGGATTAATATTGAAATATTTAACGTGGAGTGATGAGTGGGCAGTGGTGGCCTAGTAGTTAAACGGCCCGCCTCTCATGCATGAGGGCGCGGGTTCGATCCTGGCAAGTACCAACGTGATTTTTCCGAGTCATATGTACTTTCTAAGAGTATTTAGACACCACTGATTAATGCATTCCCAAAGAGGGTTGATGTCAGGTAGGCGGCCGGTCGTAAAAACAATTAGCCAAAACTATTCACAACATGTAAGGCAGACCCTGGCTAAAGCTGGAAAGTTGCCAGGTAGAAGAAGATTTAACATGGAGTGAAAAATTAAATTTCGTAGAAGTCGCAGGATAATGTTCTCGAATTCTGGAAGCTGATATTTTTGGAAATATTTTAATACTAAATAAAAACAAAATTAACAATAGTGACTAAAGGTTATGCATGTTGTTGCTCGCACGAGAACTCGTTTTGCTGAATCGTTGAGACCTTGAAGCTATCCTTCACATTGATGTTTCCACATTGAAAGCGTTGCACGACGCCGGAAATGTATATGAGTTTAATATATTAATATATACATATTATATATGTGTATATATAAATTTAAAGAACAAGAAAAAACAAAAAAAATCTTCGGAATTTTATGTAATTAGGACTACCAATCATTCGTGGCTTTTAATTATAACTATATGTGATTTTTAATCTATGTGTCAAAAGTATTAAGTGAAAATAAGAATAAGTATCTTAATCGTATCATAATTAATATATTTTTAAAATAAATATAGATTTTATCATACTATTTGGTTTACAAGTAAAAATAGATAAAAATTAAAATGTAACAAGTTATAAACCAACGGAAATAAAATGATTTTTGATAAAAATATTTATACATATCTTATAAGGAAGACATTTATTAATATCCTAGCATCCGAATTATAAATTAACCTTGTTTAAAAAAAGATGATTCACATAACATATTTTGAGGTCAAATTTATAACACAGATATAATATATAATTATTTATAGATTCAGAAGAGGAAGGAAAAAATATCGGGTATCTCTTTTTATATATATGAATAGGAGGAGGTGAAAGAAAAATCTTGGAACATATTTTTGATGGATACATTAAGATTAAGGTGGAATTAAGCCATATTTATCCATCGGTTCCAGAATTAATCGGTTAGATCCAAAAACACACATTTAGACTGTACGTTTACACGTGGAGTCCAAGAACCAGTTTCGAGGAAAAAAACACTAAAAAAATCTAAGAAATTCTCAGCCATAAAAGAGCTCGAATGGAAAATTACTAAAAGGCTTAGATTAAATTTCTACACAGATAAATAAAAATAGGAAACAGTTTCTTTGGTACGTTTTTTTTTAAATATTTTTTGACTAACGATGATTTTGAATTCATATCCTACTAAGATTAGATATCTTATTCCCACTAGTAAATTCTTTCTTTTATTTTAGGTTGATTCAATTTAAAATTAAAGTTTATTTTCATTGCCTTATTTACAAAGTCACAGTCAATTCATTACTTTTACCAACTTATGAAACTCTCATTTATTACTGCCTAAAACGTCATCATTTTCAGTTTTTTTTTCTTATTCTTATGTTTATTTGTAGAAGAATATTAAGGTAAACTACCTTTTAGTTTGAATTTGCTTAAAGCTTATTTATTTTAAGTACATATAAATATCAAGTCTACTTACCAAAACCTTTATAAACAGGTTTGTTTAAAAAACTTTTATCTTTTCAGTTTAAAGGTAGCTATCGAAGTCTTTCAATATCTAAATGACATTAAAACGAACAATATCGTGTTAGTTATCATGTATAAAATTAAGTAATTATAGTATTTGAAGTCTACGTAATAGCAAAATAATAATTAAATATACATATTTACAAATAATTGAGTTATTAAATATCGTTTTGTATTATCGTATACTCAAACAGATAAAGAAGAAATTTATACTACAATTTCGTATAAAATATAAATACTTTTTGGAACTTAATTTATTTAAAAAAACTGGTGATTTTTTTTTATCTATATAAAAAATATATATCTTAATCTGATATCCATGAACTACATTACCGTACATTCTTTTTAACATAAATGTATTTAAGTTTGCAATTGAATTTCTTGTTTAATTTTAACTGCATAAAGATCTTGACCGCGTTGACACAGTTGCATTTAATTTGGGTGCAACAAATAATCAAGTTTGCTACACTATGAAATATAAAACCTCTTTATTATACTTATAAATATAATAACCTTTTTATTTATATTTTAATGATCAAATGACATATAGTGTTAAGTACGCAATTTCGTTTTTCTACACAATCGAAAAGTAATGGCGTTTTTGCTTATATAGCTGCCATGTTTGAAATGATGTATTTGAAACATTGCGCCCTACATCTAAGCTTCCTTCTTTCATAATATTAAAGCAATATGTCGCAGCTACAAAATATGTTATGAAAATAAACGATCAATGCTATTTGATGATAAAAATGTTAGTATTACTTTGTTTTGTGTTTATTTTTTTTATGGCATGGCTTCATTAGCACTGGAATCGTGGAATATCTTGCCAATGTCAATGGTTTATATAGTTTTTTTTAATTTCAATCATATTAATTATATAGAAACTTAAGAAAACTTTTCGTATGTATCGAGTACAAACTTGTACTAAGCATAGCTCCTGCTTTACTAAGTAATCTTGTTGAATTAAATTAACAGCATTTTATCTTTTACAATACAATAGATCAGACATATTTTTATATTCACGAGTTATAAAGCGCGTTGTGATGATAGAGCTTACGGTGGTTGGGAAACCAACATCCCCAAAGATCATACCATCAAGGTCAATAAATATTACGAGCTCACTAACGAAATAACTAGAAATAGGTACGTCGTTTTCGTCGTTCGAGGTTTCGTCTTGTCGTCTATTATATTCCTTTTTAATGAAATAATATACCTACAAGTATTATTGTCATAACTAAAAATCATAATTAAAAGTGTATACAATTCTATTAATAATAATAAACGTTAATAATAAACTAATATCTAAAATGTATATAACTTAAAAACAGTAAAATCTTACAACTCTACGATATTTGTATTAACATTGTGACAACGAAGGTGAAAAGTGAATTAGAAAAAATGGTTTAAATAAAGATATTACTTTAATTGATCACATATACAATACGCATTTAAATCATATACAATATAAATGTTCATTTTTGTTATAAATAATGTCATAGCTTTCACGCTCTGCCGTTGTAATTGTCGGTCGAAATTAAATAACAAGTGACTCAGTAATTAGTATCCTTACCAAATTTTGCATCGTTGCACTACATACTTATCGTTTTTAGTTTTTCATCCATATATATTTTATTAAGTACGAAAGTAATTTTATAAAAATAAACGCGCCATCTGTAGTGTGACGTTAACAACTCATGGTAAGAGTATTGAGACGTGATTAAACTTGCGCTGTCTGAGTTCGAATAGAGAAGTTTCGACGGCGATCAAGTTTGAAAGGTTCTCAGCATCCAAATAGCAAACGTAGGTATTAGCATCTTAGTTTGAGACAGATGGATAATCTACATATAGTTTAGAATCTTATGATTGATTTCTATAGACTGATTTCGTCCATCGGATGTATCAATATAAGGTGTATAGAGAATCATTACTTGTAGTGTCTCGGATTTAATCTAACGAATTAGGTATATTAATTAAAATGAAACATTTTTTTTGGATACCACATGTTTTTATTAATTTGTTTTAAACTACATACTCCGGACGTTTCGGTTACTTTGCAGCAACCGTGATCACGAGCAGACAAGGTGAGATCCAGACAAAATAAGTTTTATTTCAATGAATTTAAAGTCTTAAATGTCTTTTCGTTTATCAAATTTTCCAATAATAAAAGTAATTGTTTAAAATTCAGTGCCAAAACATATTATTCCTATACTTTAAAAGTTCAAAATTAATACTTAAATAAAATCAATTGCATGAGAAAATAACAAAAAAATAGCATTTTAAGCTAAATTAAAGTAATATTTTCGGTTTACTACGCGTTATTTTACTATTTTAAAACTATGTACCTACTAAGTTTCTATTGCTTTACTACAACTGTTATCACAGTCAGACTTTTTCATCAGGACTTTTGATTGCTGCAAAGTAATCGAAACTTCGGGAGTATGTTGTTAAAACTTAAAATAAAAGCGTAGTTATCCGCATAAATAAATCCGAATAAATGCAGTTGACTAAGGATACAATGATAATAAACGGTCATTAAAAAGAAAACCGTGTGCGTGCAATTAGTTATTATGTTGTTTTTTAATTATAGGAAATGTCTCTAGAAGTAAATTACATATTTGATATACATAATATATGTAAAACATGTCAGTTTTCTGTGAAAAAATATATATATTTGAATTTTTATGTATGTAATACAGGTTTATTTAAGGAGAAACTGAGTTCGGCAATCAGGCTTTCAATATTTAATACAATGGCTACAATCAATCTGCGCATAACTTTGTTTCATATTACCTTAAATTATATGCCAAGGGCAAAATATAATGTTTCAAAGTATTATTACGTTTCATATTTTCTTACATATAAAATCATAATATTTTTTAATATTAAGCTTAATTATATTTCAGTTAAAATAAATTTATTTTTAAAGAATAAATATGTGTTATTTAAGAGATAAAGAAATTATATTATATTTTTTTAAAGCGCCCTCTGCTATCAGTAACGCAAACTACAACCTGATGTAAAAAACTAGATGTCGCTAGTTGTTTTTTTATATGACTAAACAGTAAAAATTAATGTTTTTTCTTGCTCTTTCCCGATGTATTAATTGAAGTTAAGGTGTAATTAACAGATAATTATAATTATTTATGGTCCAAACTTGTTATAATAGTTTACGCAGATATTTAATTGTTGTTAGCGGTTAAAGTAATAAAACTGTTCACATTAGCTAACTTTAAATGCGAGGTGTGGTTTGAAAAGACGAAATAAAACCAAACTATAATGCTGTTACTCTCACTGTAGTTTTTTTTATTTGAAACGGCGTTTTCTATTGCAAGTAGAATATCACTATACCAAATATACAGACTTATTTTTAAGAAACTCTTAACAGTCTGTGTCTACGTTAATGTTATTTTATAGGTATGTAGATGCATACTTCACTACTTTATCAACGTAATATATTATACAAAGTTGGGAGATCTTTCTAAGGTAATAAATGCAATTCTATTCTAACGCGCATAAATAACTCACCTCAATTAGGATCTTTTTTAAATATTAATTCAAAATATTGATATAAAGAAGGTTTATAACTAAATATTTACTGTGAGCATTACAAATGTTAACAATTTTAAACAGTTTAAAGCTCGTCTCGATTCTCCTTTTTCTGCACCAGACCATCGACCGCTAAACTCGAATACTTAGCTATAAATCTATCCCAGAACTTTTCTCTCTCGCCCAAGGGATTGGATTTAATATTAAGCGATTTTGTTATATGGAGGTAATTTGTTTCATTATTCTCTTTAGCGATGGGCCGCCATTTAAAATCTCCTAGGACGTCGTCCCCGCTTGAAGGGGTCGGATCCCTGGAAAGAGTAATTTGATACAATTATCTTTGAAAGTTCTCTTATAGATTGGCAAGGAGTCACTTGAAGTATCGATTAAGCACGAAATAAATGGACAGCGATTTTATTGTAACCTTAAAAGTGGTTTAATAGAAATATTATTAAATAAATAAACTATGTAATATTTTAATGAAGAAGGAGAGTCAATTGTAAGAGCGATTGATAAAGTAATTTTTGACATTCAAAGTATACAGGTAGGAGGTAGCTCAGTTTTGTTTTATTATATCAAAATTAAATCATAATTAATTTCATTATTAAAAATAAATGTTGCTATCAATATTAATACTATTCACATTACGTGAGAGTTGAATTTCATCGTAGCTAATATATTATATTAATTATAAGTCAAGTTTACCTCGTTCTAGCGAAATTCGCCCAAAGCCGCACCATTTTCCTTAAAACTTTGAACTCTGGTTGATCACTCACGAGTTTTGAGAGTTCTACATAATTATTTCTTATGCGATTGCAAAGATGTAAATAACATAATTCGTCGGCGATAGTAGCTCCCCAATGTTCTATACTGAATCTTGATCTGGAAGCTATAAAATTACTATTTTCATTTATAGAGCCCCTGAAATCGAATAGGTAGTAAAAAACGGATGATTCCAACTTTCTTGATAGTTCCTTGGCAGCTTTATTCAGAGCATATTGTTGTACCATATCACCGGAGTATACGACATATTCTAATATATTTTCGTAATTAAAATAACCCTTTTCGAAATAAAAGTCCAATATTTCTTTCGCCGCTTCCTTATGTTCATCGCTATCTCTATCAAATCTGAAATTTGTTCTGATTGGAAATAAAAATAATAAGTCATAGCTTATATCTTTTAGAAGTCTAGGTTCCATGATGAAATGGGACGCTAAGTCTAATCCTTCCCTGGAGTTCATTCCTATTATAACTGGGACATCATTAAAGTATTTGCTATCTTCTGGTAGCGATGTTATGATTGCATCCGAACTGACAAGTTCTACAGTGGGTGCGAAAGGATGAATACTCATTTGTATTTTGTCCACTTGGTCGTGATCAACAACTGCCGATTCTTTATCATACAACACACTTACATTCAACTGTTGTAAATCTTCTAGTAATCTTAAGCTATCATTAGTCTTAATATTCAGTGCTTCGCCAAGTTTAAAAGCTTTCTCTCTTGGGTTTTTATGAAAGAAAACACTTTCTAAAGCCGTCCCACTTTGTAATATGGCAGCGCTGAAAAGGTTCTTCGCTTTTTCTGTTCTTAATAAAATATCAATTAAGACTGAACCACCTCTATTACCCATCAGAGTCACACGTTTCGGATCTCCGCCTAACCGGCTTATATTATCTCTAACCCATTTTAATCCCATTATAAAATCTTTAATGCCAGCGTTAGCGGGAATAACATCGTCCTCTGTTGTCAAATAACCTAAAACTCCAAGTCTGTGATTTATATGAACAACTACTACATTCTCTTCAATGAAAAAATCGGGTCCATAGGTATCTGTAGTATTAAAACCGGTTCTGAAATTGTCATTGTAGTCAAAGACTATAACTGGGGCAGAACCTTTAACATTTGGTGTAAATACACTTAAATAAAGACAGTCCTCAGAACCAGATAGGCCGTAGTTGTCATCCATTCTCAGTCTTGAATTGAATTGAATGCATGTTTGTTTTTTATTATATGCCTCATAAACTCCTCTCCAACCTCTATGAGGGACGGGTGGCTGAAGATCAGAAAAAAATATGATAATTCTTGTACTATTAAATTAATTGCAATTAATAAGAAATGAACATACCTGGAAACGCAGTTCACCCAAAGGTGGTTCTGCAAATGGTATACCATTGAATGAAAAGTAACCTGTTTGTTTCAAAAAAGTTTTTTCCAACTTCCCGGCAAGAATTCCTTGATTTAATTGCACTTCTATGATTTCATATTCTTCGGATGCACATAATAATAAATAATTGAATGAAATAAGTAAAAAGAAAAATACTATATGTTTCTTCATTTTGTAACAATAAACACGTGTATCAAAGATTATGCATTACTTATTTTAATTTTGACCAAGAAATAATGTAAGCGATAAAACAGTATTAAGTACGATGTCGTTATCATTATACAATCATGAAGTCGATAACAGTTTCTAAATACAGTTAATCCAAAATATACTTAAAGTTTGAATTGTCTATGTAACCGGTCAATATATTTTTATATGTAAATATAACTAATATTTTTCGAATTATATTACTATCTTTTTAAAAAGTACATAATTACGAAGTTTCCGTTACTTTTAAATAACAGTGATCACGGGCAGACGACATCTGGTCATAAATAAATGAAATAATGAATTTAAATGACTGCTTGCGAAAGTCTAAGATCAAAATTTTTTAAATAATTACAACATTTTTAAATATATATAATTTTATATTCAGTCAGAAAAGAAACACCTGTTTTTAATAATATTTAAATTTTAGTATCATGATATTGCTATGGCGAAAACAAAACTTTAATTTTAAAGCAACTTATATTGCTACGAAACCACTATCAAACTATTTAAAATATTTGGCATCATATTTTTGTAAATTTTTTCTTTACCGTTTGAATTTGTATTGAATTCGGAAGGACACTGGTAATAGAAAAATGTGTTTATTTCTAAAATAAAATAATAATAATAATAATTTAACTCTTAGTTTTATTATTTAACAAAAGGTTAATATGGTATGTATATATAATACTACAGTTCCTCATGCACGTCTTTAACCACTCCATCCACTGCAAGCTGTCTATACTTTTCTATAAAGTTATCCCAAAAAGAAACTTTATCTTCATAAATATTATTCTGCATCCTGGGTTCCTCACTGATTATTAAACATTGTCTATTCTCTTTTGTTACTGGCTTCCAATTGATTGGGCTTCCAGGGGGTGTTGGATTTCTGAAAAAATATTGTGAGATAAATTATATTTATTATATATTTAGAGGCATACGTAGATGAATTTAAATAGTGTTTGTTCGTACCCGGTCTTTGCAAAATTTGTAATATATTTGACCATGTTTTGAAGAACTTTTAATTCCTCAGAATCATCACTTTCCAATATTTTTTTATATACTTTTTTATACGGATGACAAACGAATACGTAACATAAATCATCATCTCCAGACGCGCCCCACGTTCCTTCTATACTCAAGCTATCTTCGAGGATTGATTTCTTTCTAAAGTTCAATTCTCCGCTGTAATCAAACATGTAGTAATATATGGGTTTACTTGAAATATTTGCATAGGTTCGGACGGTGTAATCGATGTGGTAAAAATGCGTAACATCTCCCATGTAAGTTATATATTCGGAAGGATTAGTGACTTTCACATAACCTTCGTCAAAATAGAAGTCTTTTATTTCTTGAACCGCTTTCTCATATAATTTATCATGTAATTTAAAAGTATATCCAACCCTAATAGGAAACAGCATTAAGAAGTCTTTATCTGCGTATGTTAAATAATTAGGATTATGTAAATAGCGGGAAGATAAAGCGATTCCTTCTCGAGAATTGAATCCAATCATTATTGGGACTGGTAAATCATTTTTATTACTCTCTGGTAGCATAGAAATAATAGATTCAGGGTTTTCAGATTCTACAACGGGTCCGAAAGGAACGATTCCTCTTTGAATAGATCGAGGCTCATCTGCGTGTACAGCATAAAGTTCAGCTTCAGTTAACTTCAGAGCGGGAACATCTGATAGTCGTTGAAGTAGAGATTCACTGGTCGTCGCTTTTTGTTCCAGGTGATCGGATAATTCGATTGCTCGTTTCTTCGGGTGTTCATCGAAGTACATAGAACTAAATGATGTCTCGCTCTGTAATATTACTCCACTAAATAAATCCTTTCCTTTTGGTGAGTGTAATAAAATATCCACTATGACTGCTCCAGCTTTATGTCCCATTAGAGTCACTTTGGAGGGATCTCCACCAAAATTCTTTATGTTATCTTTTATCCAGTTAAGAGCTAGTACAACATCTCTTATACCATTATTTCCGGGAAGTAGTTTGTCCTCAAAAGCCAGAAATCCCAATGATCCTAACCTATGACTGATGGTGACTAGTATGACATTCTCTTTCATCAAAAAGTCGGGACCAAAGGATTTTGTACCGTTGTATGACATTTTAAAATGATCATTATGAAGAAAAACTATTACAGGTAGATCTAAATTATTATTTATAGGTTCTTTTGGAGTATGGATACTCAAATGAAGACAGTTTTCGTCCCCGAAATATCCGTATTGTTTTAAATTTCTTAGCGGCAAATTGAACTGCGAACATTGTTTCTTTTCTACTTTTGTTGGTAAAATGTCGTCCCAAGCGGGATGTGGAACCGGAGGCTGGAAAAATAAACAAACGATCAGTGAGAAGATATGCTTAGCTCATTGAATTCTTGTTTATGTCATAAATTGTAGACTCATAGTATTGTAATTTTTAATTTCGTATGACTGAAAGCAATATATACTTAATGTTCCTTATAGGTACTTTATTCATTTTAACACAATAAAATTAACTTTTTTAATATATAAATTTTACTTACCATAAACCTAAGTTTGTCCGTTGGTGGTTTTGCATACGGAATGCCTAAGAAGGAATAATATTTTTCATTAGGTAGTATTGATTCAACTTCTCTCCCAGCTACTTTTCCTGATGTAGTTTCAACTATCACATCACCGTTAACAATATTAACTATAAATATCACTATTGCACAAACACGAATATTCAGAGACATTTTGATAAAAAAACATTTAGTATCGGAGCGTCCACATGTTGATAGTGACGTGTCCCATAGATTGTTAATCGGTCGGTTCTGATAACTAATAAGTGTAGATACAAATATATTTATAACAACTGATAATATTAAGTAAGACTTTAAGTCTTTGGTCGTGATAAGAAGAACTAGTATGTTAACTTATTTATAATGAAATTTAAAATGGGTCAGATATTTCAGTACGTATCAAATACCTTTCAAAAGTATATTAAAGTGTTTTGTAAAGAAAGTGGTCATGCTTCATTGCTTACAATTTCCAGTTAAAAGCCTAGCTGTGGTGAGTTACTACAGTTCGAACATGGGCTGGCTCGACCGGGGAAGTACCACCCTCTCACAGAAGATCGGCGTAAAGTAGTCATTAATGATTACGTTTCGGCCGAGGAGTGAGAGTGTTGCTCTTTCCCTGTTCCCACCCTTTCCTGCCATTTCCTTATTCCCACCCTTCCCTATTCTTCGAAAACTAAGGTTGGAAAGGCATCCGCAACAGAAATGTTGCGGATGTCCATTAGTGACAGTGACTGCTGCCTATCAAGCAGGCCGTCTACTCATTTGCCACCTTTCACATAAAAAAATGTTGTTTCTTCAGAACAATATATAATATGTATAATTTATAAAATAAACGAGGTAAAGAATATATAAATTAAACTTGAATTATTTTTTGGGGTTTTGCTTTTATGTTCGATTAATAATTCCCTTAAACACATTACTATATATATAATGTTGTAAGTTGGATATCATAAATATATGAGATGATATTGCTATTACTGCCAAAAGCTGTATTAGAAATACGTATGTACATAATACGAGCGCTATATACGAGTATGTAAAATTTGTCTTACTTTAAAGTCTGTTTGTTAGCCACTTTATTTATATACATAAAGGGCCTATTTTACGTAAGTACTGACTTCTCATCTTATATACCTATAATCTCATTATCATCCAGGGCGATTGTCTATCGGTGGCTTCCCCTAACTTTTGCCACGATGCCCGCTCTTTTGTTTGTTTAGTACGGGTACATTCGAGGACCTTTAGACTTAATCAACTTAGATATCCATATATAACTTAAAAATAAATAGGACTTTTAAATAAAACAGAATATTAAAATAGTGAATCTGTTCTTAATATAGTATTATGATAATACTCCTAAATCTTTGTTAATTTATTATTTTATCAAGAAACAAAAGTCGATGAGCGTCACTTTGTTATAATTCATCTTTTCTAAATCTCAAGTATTCTAGTTTCTTTCCCCATTTGTCAATAAATTTATCCCAAAACCTGAATCTGTTCCGTAATAAACTTTCCTTGACTGTTATATTTTCATTTATATGGAGATATTTCTTGGTGTCCATGTTGTAGCTTGGCCATTCTACGTCCCCTAATGGATTGTCGTCTGCAGGTGTCGGGTTTCTGGAAGAAATTTTCATAAGATAAACATGAACGATTTAGTTTTAAAAAAGAATGTTATTACAAGGAAGCAACGTAGATTTTTTGTTACAGCTTCTTTAAAAATTGTCGAGCACTTATTTATAAAATAATATTAGACACACATATGTACAGATACACACACGCCCACATCGACGTCAAACATATAACACCAATCGCTTAACGTCGGGGTACAAAAATAACATTGTTTCGTGTTTTAAAGAAACAATTTAAAACGTACCCGTATTTAATGAAATTCGCCCACAGTTTTATCATCTTCCTTTGTACTTCGATTGTTTTGGATTTTAAGCCTTTTTGTTTTATATATTTATCATTCAGAGATGGACATCTGAATAAATAACACAGCTCATCTCCAGTCGGAGCCCCGTATATTCCATTTGTAGTTGACGACAATTTTAATATGTTGTTTTTATTTTCGCTTAAGCTGCTGTAGTAATCGAAATGATAATAAAACACCGGTCCCGAGGTTATGTTGGAGAAAATTTGTGCAGCAACATTGATGGGGTACACCTTCAAGTCGCTCATGTAGGTAATGTACTGTGAAATACTTGCTAATGATACTTCACCTTCCGTAAAATAGAAATCTTTTATATCTTGAACGGCTTCGTAATAACTGTCATGATTGGGGTCGAATTTATAATTCACTCTTAGGGGGATCAAGAAATGAAAATCTTTTTCTACGTTATTAAAGAAATGCGGTTGCATTAGGTACATCAAAGACGAATGTAAACCCTCCCGAGAGTTAGATCCAATCAGAATTGGCATGTTTATTTTCTCGGAGAAGTTTTCAGGGTAGTCTGTTATGAGCCCGTTTGAATCCTTCTCAACGACTGGACCGAAGGTGAGAACACTTCTCTGGTTATCTTTATAATAATCGGCAGGTGACGCTTTTAATTCCATTGGCAATATATTTAACGTGTTAATTTTGTTTAGTTCTTCCAACAGATATTTGTTACTCGATGTCGGTATTTCCAACAGATTACCCAGTTCTTTGGCTCTTTTCCGTACATTTTCTTGTAGAAATTCAGAACTCAGTGAAGTACCACTCTGAAGTATAGCTGAACGAAATAATACGTTTGCTTTGGAACGGATGAGAAGATCCACTGCAGCTGCACCTCCTTGGGATCCAAGTAAAGTGATTTTTTCAGAATCTCCTCCAAAGCTATGTATATTCTGGGATACCCATTCCAAGCCCGCAACTATATCCTTTAAGCCAGCGTTTCCCGACAATGTATCGTCTTCAAATGAAAGAAAACCGAACATTGAAAGACGATGGCTTATCGTTATGACCACAATATCTTCTTCAATGAAAAAATCTGGAGCATAATCTTTGCTTTTATTATAAGAGTTTACGAAGCGGTCATTATACAAGAAGACAACAGCCGGTCGTTTGTTATGGTCAATCGAGGGGGTGTAAATGTCAAGATACAAACAGTCTTCTACGCCATATTGCCCTATAGGCTGACCTTTAAGAATATTGTAATTATTTTGGACACAGGCGGGCTTTATTTTATGGGCATGAAGCACATCATCCCACGGCTTAATAGGTTGTGGTGGCTGTAATAAAAAATCAAGATAATATATAGCGTTTTGAACAACAGATTCATCTTTATTAATATATAAATGATGACTTACCTTAAATCTTAAATTCTCTATTGGTGGCTCAGCAAATGGTATTCCCATAAATGCGTGATATAATTTCTGTTGGTAAATTGTTTTGAAAGTTATACCAGATACAATCCCATGTGTGGTTTTAACTTCGTCATTATAAACAAAACCTAATAACGATAAATACAAATATAATTTTAACTGTCCACACATTATTATTGTATAAGCGATATCTTTTCACTAAAGTTCCTAAAAAGACGGCATATGATATAAAAATTATCTGAAAAGTATTAATTTATTATCTTTACTGAATTTAGTTTTATTACGAGATTAGTTATTTTATTATATGTCATTAAGCATTACCATATAATATATTTGTTTGATATATAATTACAGACACTTATAAGCTATTTTCAAATCACTTTTAAATATTATAGTTTTTGTTATGATAATCGATAAATGTTTTTTCATTCACTATGCCACGTGCGACATTAAAATAAACCATGAATAGAAAATGAATAAAGTATTTACATATTCTATTTTACCATTTATATAAATGACCGGACGGATTTGTTTTAAATTCAGCATAAATATGAAGAATATTGAGCTTATTTATTTATTGCTAACAAAGCATTGGGTAAATGGTTATGTGTGTATCTATGTTAAAATTTAAGTACTTGATTTACTAAAACATTGTGTTATGAAACATTATATATAAGTTTTAATTAATAATTTTCTTTTATTATATGAAGATATTTTGCGACTAAAACGTAGAATACTGCTAGTGTTATTCTAAAATAAAGTCACGGTTTGCGAATAGTTTATAGTTTCTTGTCTAAATATTTTTGTTTCAGAGTACCGTTATCTCGTTTTATATTCAGTAATGAATCTGTCATGTTGCTATATATTACTATTATTAAATATAGCATTTGGTTCGAAATTATTGATTAAAAAATACGGTTTAACTATAGTTGGGTTGAGGCTAAAAACTATTTATCATAACAATGAATACGGGGCATTTTACAGAATTCCGTACGCCGAACAACCGGTAGGGGAGTTACGATTTAAGGTAGTAGAACCATATTTATAATATTACCTTTATAAAAATTCCGTTTATATAGTATTTTTTATATTTTAACTCTCAGCGATACATTCATATTTATTGATTTTATCTGTATAGTAATTTAAAAATATCTCTATTTATGTATACAACAAATAATCGTAGAAAACAAGCTGTAACTGTTATTTATTAGCAAAAATATGTCTATTTCAGGCTCCTAGAGAATTGAAAACTTTTGATAAAAATAAAACATATGAATTCAGTAAATTATACAGAGAAAAATCTTTTATCACCGAGAACTGTTTACATTTAACAATTTTTACACCAATATTAAATAACGAAATTAAATATTTTCCGATTTTGGTGTGGCCCCAAGAGTCAGTCAGTCAATATGGCCCTGATTTTTTTATAGATGAGGAGGTATTAGTAGTAATGGTAAACTTTCGTTCGTCAATATTTGGCTTCCTGAATACTGAAGATGATTTCGCTGAAGGCAATATGGGAGCCAAAGATATTTTACTGGCCCTTAAGTGGTTGCTTGATAATATAAGAATCTTTAATGGTGATCCCGGAAGAATAACTATAATGGGTTCAGGAGAAGCCACGACCTCCGTTGCATCCATGCTTTTGACGAGAGCGGCTGGAACTTTATTCCAAAGAGCGATTATCATGGATGGAAGTGCTTTATCCCCTGCTGACTATAGACCATATAATTTTGAAGTTGCCAATAAATTATTTTGGAAGTTTAATGGGAGTTGGGATCAGTTTAATCGTAGAGAACTTTATAATATACTTAAAAATACATCAGCTGTCAAATTAAAACTAGCCTCTCGTGACCTGTATGACAGCACAGAAGTGAGAGATAAACAGAGATTAATAAATGCTTTTAGTTGCACAGTTGAAAATAATTCCGGTGACAGAGCATTTATGACGAAGTCACCAGTAGATGTTTATAAAGGAAAAAAAGTCAGCAAAATAGATGTTATATTTGGATATACAACATTTCCATCGCTTTTTAAATTGGGTGGCATTTCTAAAAACAGAAAACTGCTGAGATATTTAAATTACAATTTTCAATATCTGCTGCCATTCGAGGGCCAATGTGATGAATACTTATCAAAGCGATACAGAAAAATAAGAAAGAAAATCATGAATTTTTATTTCATAAATGGAACTATAACTGATTTCAGTTTCAAAAGATATGCAAAATACATTTCCGACCAGACAATATATCCATTGCTTCGGCAAGTTGTATTACAGTCCAAAGTATCAAAAGGAAGCATTTACTTGTATCGACTTCCTTTCAATGGACCGTTGAATATGAGGTGGAGAAAATTTGTACCCAATTTGAAATGGAAAGGTGCGACTTCGGGCGACGAAATCTGCTACCTATTCAAATGCAAATCAGAATTAGAAACTTATAATAGAATTGGGAAGGTAAATGAAACACGGTTTATTAGCAGGATTGTTAGACTATTTGGAAACTTTGTCAAATTTGGGTAAGTTTAACATTTTGAGGTAATTTTCATTAGCAACGCTGTTGCTGGATATAATAGTTTTACGATACTTTCCGAGTTTATTGATATTATATATTAATTTCTTGAAACAAATATTATGTAAATGTTTGAGTAATTTTCTACCATTGAAATAGCTATTAATCTATTAAGTGTGTTATTTTTTTCTATTTTTATGTGTAGGGTCCCGACTCGTCAGGGTGTTGATAATATTGTTGGATCATTAAAATGGTTGCCGTTAGAAGAAAGAAGACCTTTAAGAGCTATGAATATGGGACATCATTTTAAAATGGTTAATGTGCCCGAAGAAAAAAGAATGCTTTTTTGGAATCATTTAAGAAAAAAATATTTCTCTAATAAATAAAAAACTTTGAGATGATTTCTTTTGATTTAACCTTAAAACAAATCTTAGGGTATAATTTTTATATCTATTTTTGGTGTTATGCATTTGTTGCAGAGTGAGAACAAGGTTTTAAATGAATTTTAGTTGAAATCTATTTAATAATTTTAAAAGTTAAATATATCAGCATTTTTCCTTTATGAATCATTAGAAAAATAATCGCTATAAAAATTTTACTGCATTCTAAATTGGTTTGTATTACAAAACAAAACAAGAGCAAAACGCGACGCGTACACGTCATGTTAAGCCACGTTTTCATACAAACAAAGCCTTTCTCGTGATAGGGTTGGCAATTTTTATCAGAATTTTATCTAAAAATAACTTTCCCTATGGCATGTTTTAATGCTCTGATTTTATAACTTTATTTGTATATATTTTATTTAGAAAAACCTATATCAGATATATGGGGTCATTCCAATTTTTTTTTTACAGAAAACAGCATCTTGTTTAAATCTAAAATAAAGATTAAATATAAAACTTTTTACTTTGAAAAAACTTAATCTAAAAACATAAATAATATCTTATTTTTCAACCAAGAAGGTATTAATAGTTTAATTTTAACGTGTAATTATAATCTCTTATAAATATTATTTAGTAATCCTTCACTTTTATTTCAACTATTGATAGGAATGGAAAACATTGTGTGTGTTTTCTGCTATTCAATTATTTAAAAATTGCGGAGTCAATTTGGATGGTATGAATTATATATAAAGATATCTAAAGATTTGTAATAAAGATCACGCAGGGTACTTCTGTGGCCTGCCAATGAGAGAAGATCAATGTTAAACTTTAAATATTTAAGTAAAACCAGCCTTGAGTTCCTTATTTAATCATTTGGATTGCTTCCAGCAAGTAAATGGAATGTATCAAGTTATATTACTTACTTTTAAACGATTACTTAAACGAAATGTAATAAGAAAACCCTATTGTTAAAAAAAGTAAACATTTTGTTTTCTATTTGTTTAAAAAAAATTAAAGCATTTTATTGCTGTTACGTTTTTGTTTTATAATTTGAAGAAAACAAGTGTTATAGAATTTAGATAAGAATTTTAATATGTTATATATATTTTCTTACTAAGACAAATTATATCGGTTGAATAGTTTATCACGGGTGTGATAAATCTATGAGCCCACTCACCCTCACAGGTCATCATTAATCTTTCTCAGATTTATATCTTACAGTAATTTCGATGTGATCACATTTTACTCAACGAAATTCTCATCTCTTAATTGGTTGATGGTATAACCGACACTTAGATTAGTATCAGTAAAAAAAATGCATTGAAATATGAGCCACATACAAAAAGTACCTATAATGAACATTTTATAACTTATTATTAAATTGACATATTTCTTTGGAATCATTTATTTTCTAAGTAGTGGCAGTTGAAAATATTTTTTAAATTATTAACCATTTAATGAAAGAAATTGTATTGAGGATCAGAAAACTAGTGTCGGCGTTGTGTTGAAGGTACTACTTCAGTTAGCATAAAATACAAAACACCCATTTTCTCCGAAAGGGTTGTAGTCCCTCGATTTATCCCAAACGAGCTGAAGAAAATTGGTCCCAAATGCTTTGATTCTTATCAGCTTTTATTGTAGTCTGTCAAAATTGTATATTGTGATAATTTTAGGCATATCAAATTTTTTCTGTCGATGTAAGTAAAAATGTGCGAAAAAACTAGAACAACATAAAGAAACAACTAGTGTAGTGTAGAAGTAGTCTAGAAGGAACGATTTACGATGGAAGTTAATAAAATATGTAGTAGCTAAATAAACGTAAGAATAAGTAAGTAAGTAAGACAACAAAGCTTAATGATAAGTACATACTATTTAATTCAGTAAATTATGAAAATATTCCTTATTAACACTATAATTGTTTCATTTGATTAAAGAATTATTTTGTCTTTGTTCGTCGATATGAAGTTTGTAATGACATGCTCTTTATAATTTGAAGCATAAAAAAATTTTTATTGTCTCTTTGTTACATATAATGTTATTTCTCTCTTATTATTACTATCTTACATAATTTTGATGACCTCTCATACCTTCATATATTGTTGTAAAAATTTGGTAGAAAATTATTTAATTTTAGGTAAATAGAAAATTTATTAACCCTGAAACGCTTTTTAACTTAGTTTGACGTTTCAGTGAGTTAAACCTGAAAATAATGTATAAACCCATTAACCGCTTTTATATATTCTAATTGTAATCATTTGAAGCGAGTTTCAAAGTTGGTACGTTATTTGAATTTGAAGGAAGGTTATAAGAATGGTACTTCGCTCCTAATATATTAATACCAATTCAATATACATATATCATTCTTCTATCTTTATGTCCGCTTCGATTCTTATTTTTCTTTTATTTAATAATATAAGTTTGAAACTTATTCACATTGAGAATGAACAACAATTTTCTGAAAGAAGTTTTCTTCGTTCAGAATTTCAAGTTCTTATATAAGAGTTACAGAAACCTTCGAAAATAATACACTCGCGTAGAATTGTAAAAATTGTGAATATTTGTAGCCGGTTACAAAAAGAAATTAAGTAAATTGATAGATATGTAATACATATAGCAGATTTTAAGACACAGGGCGTAACATAAAAAATGTTTTCATCCAAAATAATAGATATTTCTTTCAAATGTGTATTTGTAACTTTACACATAATTTGTATGCTCTTAGTCTGTCGAAGAGTATTGAAATAGAAAATTTAAAAGGTGAATTTTGCGCCATATACTAATACATAGTAAAGAATATGCACAATAATTTAATATATTCACATTTTAAGCAAATATTCGAAATCTTTTTTATACTTCGTTGCATCCTCTGGGCTTGTAAGATTAAGGTCTAAGATAAGTATATCGCTTCTAATATCATAACAATATATAAATAATTAATTCGGATAATTTTAAAGTGTATATAGGTTTGTATTCTCCATAAAAGGAAATTGTAAACGAAATATACATTTATCTACCGTTGTAGTAAAAAGTACAATAAATAACTGGGAGCAATTAGTGGGGACGCTTGGATTTATGAGATCGAGATTGTACCGTTTCATCTTTATACGGACAAATTTATATTTTGTGTATTTTTTAAAAGCTGCCACCCGTAAATTTGTACGTGGATTGCGTGTTTTGTCTAAAATAATATGCTTATCAGTTTTCGCTTGTTTGTGAAAAATATTACGATTTTTATTAGGCATTGAATTTTACAACAATATGTGTAAAAATATTTCTGTTTTTTATATTTCTTTTATCTTAAAAAATGCGTGATATGTAATTCATATTAAAGAAACTCCAATGAAGCGTTTTCCAGATGTGGAATTGGATTTATGAGCCGAGTTGAACCTATATAGGCTTATATTACTTTCAATGCTTAACGGCTTTGCATAAAAGTTTTTAATAAAATGAAACTTAATTCAATAAGTGATTTATAATAAGAAATGTAGCCGTTATTTGATTTGTATCTCTTGTAATATTTTAAAATTATGATTAACTAAATATTAGTTAAGGGTTAAAATGTTTTAAAGATTAAAAAAATTTAACCTACAGATACGAATATTATAGCTGAATTTGAATATGTATATTACCAAACTATATACATATTACTGATTATATTATATTCTTCTTGATCGCAACGAGAAATCTGTCTTTGAAGAAAAAACTCAGTTTAAATGGTCTGCTAAATAAATAACAACGTTTTATATAAAAAACCTGTTTATGGTTCCTTCTTTTTTTTTCACCCTCATCTAAGAGCTGTCTTCTACACTTTTTCCCACTGTGTTTAATGTGATATGAAGATTCCTTGAAACAAAGAGCTCACAGTTGCACAGAGACACTTCTACAGAATAGGAATTACACATTAAGTTAATAAGAGAATACAAGTGCTATCTTATGTACTGGGACTTGGTTTGATTTCAATGAACTTTTTTATTTCATTCCTAAAATATTGTTCTCAGCATTAACTATCCTGATGAATTATTTGAAACCCAATACAATCTAAAAGTGTCGTTGATTTTAGACTGATTTACAGCTGCTGTGTAGGAATAACTGGAAATTAAAAATACGGAAAAACCGAAAACAGAATAAGTAAACTGAATGGATTGCTGCGTTGGTAAAATTTCAGCAATGAATAAATCAGCTTTTGCCAGCTATCTCCACGGCGGCCATTTACGATGCATAGAGCAAAGAGATGCTTCTATACAAAACGAAGTGCTCAGATTTAATATGAAAACAACTATTTATATTCAGGTGAGTTTATAAATAAAAATTATGTGAGATTTGAGAGATATAAATTGTGTTGTTTATTTAGATATAGTCGTATAGCAACAGGGTATTTTGTCTGTATGATGTAGAACATCGTGTCATATTGAAATTCTACGCATTTGAATGTAATTCTGAGGAGAAAGCTAAGATTTGTCTCTGTAGTTTCGACTCGACATTTAGTGTTCTGTAAACTTAAAATTACTGTTAACATGTCATTTGAGTTACTTTATATTAATAATTAATTAAAGTAGATACGCCTGGAGTCACCTGTCAGCCTGGAGTTAAAAATAAAAAATGCGAGTTGCACTGAAACCATGTTGCCACTGCAAAAATGAGATAATATGTCAGATAGTATAAGTATATTATATAAATTGAAAGAATAAATGAAACTAATATTTTTCGGATTACATTACGCGTATTTTATTATTTTAAAACTAAACTCAGCAAATCTCGTGTGCCCGTGATCATGGATGCTGAAAAGTAACCGAAACGCCAGGAGTATGTAGTTTTTAAAAGAATGAAATACGTATAGTATAATTACAATAATGTAAGTTTCATTTAATGAATACTCGCGAAAGTTTTAGATCTCATTAATTGAAAGCTCTTTGGGTAACGTCTTATTTATGTGTATTCACTAATTATATTAATTACAGCTTCTGATTTAGTATTCCTTTGCATTTATTTTGATAAGTACTTTGCCATATTTTTTTGATTTTTGTTCCCATTAGCTCTTTAGAATGAAAAGTTTCTACGAAATCCTTCCCACTATTCCAGATACCTCATGACCCTATAGCGGTAACGATATTTTCATTAGACTATTACAACCAAAAAATAATTATAATATTGGTGATTCTGATATACATCTGTTTGTTTTCATACTGTCATCATTATATCTTAACAAATCACTTAATATTCAATATTATTTAATAATATATGTTATCGAATGAGTTCACCGAAACCTGTGTTATGATAAATGTATGTAACATCGTGCTATATGAGAGTTGGTCATCAATCTTACTCAGATGATACGAAAACTGTGCCGGTGAGATATAAAAGGTAGCTAACAAATTGAATTATTAAACTAAAAAGTTTTTACAACCTTTGGGTATGGTGAAGTTCAAAAATATGCTTCTTGAACATTACCTCCTATACTTTACTTAAACTTTCTTATCTAATCGGCCGAAATAAATATAGATTTAAATTAATACTTGTTGAGCGATAATTATTATAATTCTAATAGAATTTTTAATATTAAAGCTATTTATATGCATACTTACTTAGTGAGATGTTATTTAATTATTTCATGTTTATAAGTTCTTTTAATAATTTATCGAGTTTCTTTACTTATAATAGCTAAAATAAAATAATAACATTTGTGTGTAGTAATTAGGTAAATAGTGTGTTTTTATTATGATCCTTTATGAAATTAAGTTTTTCGGATACTTCATGTTTCTTATTATTCTTCTTCTTCTACCTAGCAATTTCCCAGCTTTAGCCAGGGTCTGCCTTAGATGTGTGAATAGTTTTGGCTAATGGTTTTTTACGGTCTCCTGTATGACATCAACCCTCTTTTGGGAATGCATTAATCAGTGAGGTCTAAATACTCTTAGAAAGTACATATGACTCGGAAAAATCACATTGGTTCTTGCTTGGGCCAGGATCGAACCCGCGTCCTCGAGCATGATAGGGGGGCCTTTTAACCACTAGGCCACCACTGACTATTTCTTATTATTCTATCACTATATAATCTTAAGGATTATGTTGATGTCATTTATTTTTTCTGGCAAACATACGAAAAAAATGAAATTAAGAAATGTTGTTTCCCATTTTAAGTAAAAGCAAATATAAGTTGTTATATGTTATTCTATTCTAAAAAAATATATTTTTATTAATCATACATACGTTTCACTCGTGCTATAAGTAAAAAAATGTTATAAAAGTCGTTCTAAGTAGGACTGAGAAATTTACACCATAAATATATAAAAATAATTAATTTCAGTTGATATAGATCTATCATTATCTTGCAATATATCCAGGTTGAGCTTTATAGTACGTGTTTATCGAATATACATGTACCAAAATATGCAATGCAGTGTTTCACATAAGTAAAAGCTTTGTACTTTTCGTGCATGCATAATACTTGACTGTGGACTTCAAATTCCTCATATTTATGAGATCATATTATATTTACATAGAAAAATCATTCCATACAAATAATAAATGTTTTTACCAATAGTGGGTATTGTTTTATATTAAATAATGGCAAAAAATATATATCTTAATGTTGTTAAACAAAAATCACTGATTTTTGTAATATTATGTAAAATTTACGTCAAAAAGTTACGGTTAATTTAAAATTTACTACGTAAAGTAATTCTTACGTACTGGTATATTTTTAGATCATAGTTTTAACGTATGTATATAGTTTATGATATTATAATATATAATATGTAATATTACTATTCTATAAAATAGCCATAAGTGCCTTTCTAAAAGAAAAAAAGGTGAAAGTAAAATAGTAGTTTACGTCTTAGTACAAGTGTTGTACAATTATTTGCAGCCTGTCATCTGGATATATCTGAGAGACATTGCGGTAAAGTTTATAGGTCAGAACGGTGTAGAAATGTGAATTGAGATATGTTGCAAGGAACAGTAGGGATCTGCTTTAGAACTCCTGGTTGTGAATACGTTTTTTTGATGACACTGAAAAATACTTTGCACATATCATCCAGTATGGGTTGAGCAGAAGTGTTTGTATTTGATTTTTGGGTGTAACGCAGAGTCCACCACCTAAAAAACCAGTTTGACCAGCACAGAAGGCGAGTCTATGAAAGCCTGTGGTCTCCCAGTTCTGCTTGTCCGATGGCAAATCTAACACGAGATGAATTTGTGCCAGTATTGTATGGCAGGCCATCAGATATGAAGACCTAGTAGGAACTGGACGCCAGACTTCCCATCTCTGCCACCTCGGGTCTTACACGGTTGGCGGCGGCGGTCTATTAAAATATTTATATTATTTAGAAATGCTAAAAATACATTGCAAGACATGTATATTATAAATATATGTTGTAACAATTGTATTGACGTTTTCAACTTAGAATCTATTACCAATTGTTTGTAGATTTTATGTATATCTTACAAGGTTTTCCTCGGTGTTTTTATCGAGTTCCGTTATTTTCTTTTCTTACTAAATGTGATAAAACGTTTTGTAAGTAATGTATTGTATACATTTGAGAAAACGGTGTTTTCTAGATTATCAAACTTTAGTTGAAAAGAAAAGCAATGGAGTCACGTAATATCCTCAGCAAGGTAGTCGATGTAAGAAATTGCTGACCAATAGAATGTAGTAAAGTTTATTGAGGGTTCGGATTTTGACCCATTACTGAAAGTAGCCGTTAAGTGAAGTTTATTTGGAAAAAGTTTATTGTTTTGAAAAGTACATTAAACTATTTTTGTTCATGAAATATGAACTTCAAAAATAAAATTTGAATATTAACATAAAAAAATCAACAGAAATATTAACAATAACATGAATCTATCTGCCCGCGATCGCGATTGCTGTATAGAAATCGAAACGTCGGGAGTATGCAGTTTATAATCAAAAATAAAAATCGCGTAGTACATCCGAAAAATATTAGTGTCATTTAAATATGTAGAATGAAAATACTCAAGATTGTCAAAATAAAGTACGTCGTAAGCTATTTAGTTAAAAACAATATACATATCTTGCTTTAAGATAGTGGCGATTAGAGTTTGCTATATGTTTCAAAGACATTGGTTGTCTTCTTAAAAAATTACAACAAGAATTCAACAAATATCATATTTATTATTATACAATATTTTTATATTAAGACAACAATAGTTTTTCATTATTTTGATATGTTTTATACTCAACTTAAACTGTCAACGCATTAATTCCGAGACTTAATTCCAAAAATGTTGACGACACTGTTCATAATCGCTTACCTCACCTTATATTTGTCGATATAAAATAATTGATTGCTCGAAAAATACTGATTTAAGTGTATTGTAAAAATAAGTACTTCTTTCATATTATTTTTATATATTTAAGATGTAATCAAATATGTCGTAAAGAGTATAAAGTAGAAATTCAATGTAAATTATAAATTATTACAGATTTAATCCTAACTTTCTAAGAAACTAGACTATTTCGAGGTGAGTGTTTAAGCCAACATCGCTTTAATATTTGCTCAGTCAGTCCTTTGACTGTCACTGAACTTAACAACTTCGCTGAAGTATCTCAGGTCACTTTAAAATTTAAATGTGTATTTTCTAAATAAAATAGTCAAGAACTTTTACATTTCACCTAACTGTTTTTAATATTATTCACTTAATTTATAATTTAACTTAATAATTATGTGGAAACGTTCGTTTTTATTTCTCTCTTAGATAGTGCCTAAATACTGAATAAAAATACTAATTTATTATTTATAACAAACAGTCAGACGGCGATTTCTTGTATTATAGCTCAAAAGTCTGAGAAATACTGTTCTCAAAAATGAAAAAAGACTGACCAATAAACAAGTTTTTGGATTTATAAAAACTGAAATGTACTCAAAATAGTAATTTTAAAGTAATTTTACTGTAGTGGATGTGAAACTACCAGAGTTTGGATACATGCCATTTTCAATACATCTATAGGTGTCATATATTCGTTAGTTGTTTGAGTATGATTGATGATCAATATTCATAGAGCATCTCGCATTTATCATATCATTGTTAGATTTTATCTTTCGGAGTCCATAGTACTCTCTATTTTCAGTATGAAAAATGGTTCCTGAAATCTATGGTTGTATGGACATTGTATTTTTGCCATATATCGGCGTTTATTGTCATCGTGTATCGGAAGCAGGCGTGTGTATTTTGCAAGTCACACGTTATTCACTGTTGAGTTATTAAGTCTTGTTCGAAGGGAGTCTTATCTGTTATTATAATAAAAACTAACGGGAAATAAGGAAAAATGGATGTTTTTTATAGTGACCATTAGACATATTATTTTCATGACTTAATATTTAATATAATATAAGCTTTTAGATTGATACTTCTATTACATCACTCATTCTTTTCACTCACTTATTCTGACAATCATTCCACGGCATTTGTGTGATTTAAATAAATGTTGTATTCTGTAACATTCATATTTCTTTCATTTCATGTACCAAGGTTTTCCATTATAATTAATATATTTTAATTCCTGAATTATTATTATTATTAAAAACTTCTTATTAATACAAATGATTTTTAAAAATTTTTCATTTTCGATGAGGATTAATTAAACTAGTCCACAGTTTCTTCTTTTTCTTATATTTAAATATAAGTTGATATATTATAATTGCAGTCACATTTTTTCCAATTTTCAATAAATTCATATGGCTTTTACAACCAAGTCCACTTGTACATATACATATAACGTGTTACGAGCTCCTAGTTATTGTCATACAATAACCAGTGAGAAGCATCTACTTTAAAAATATTAATTCATCAATGTGATTACAAAATTATGTTAACATTTATAAAGAGTAAACGATATATATTTGTTCATAATATCAATATTTTTTTTTTAGGCAGACCCTGGCTATAGCCGGGAAATTGCCAGGTAGAAGAAGATTAATAATCATTTTCAGAATAAATGTAATCTAACAAGCTTTTTCTTCTTACGACCATTTTAACTATGTTTCACATCACTTTGAAGCTGCTATTGAGAACTCTAAAATAATTTTTAACTTGTGTGAATTATTATTTATTGTCCATTATTATTTATTGTACTGGTATATATGAAGTGTAATTTTAGTCGTTAATATTAAACTAATATTTGTTCTGTTGTACAATCCCTGCACTGTAGACACATGTTAGTACAAAACCGAAGGATAAATAGGGTTGTAAGCTTTATGTATTTGTATATTTCTAAATTAAATAGTTACTAACATATTTAGTTGTTGTCTTGATAAAGTATTTTAGTTTCAAATATATTGATTTTAAGATATATACAAGATAAAGATTTTTTTGAAAAATATGAATTATCATATGAAATATTTATCTTTTAATATAAATAATTCTAGATAAAAATAAGAAATAAAAGATATATTAATATTTTGTTTATATAATTTTGATATTCGACAACCCTGAGTCGGCTTCTTTGATCACGATGTTGGTGTAATGCTAGTGACGTGTGGTTTGACACGCACCGAGGCTACGGATTCTATAAATAACAAAAAATACACATACATACATACATAGTAAAGTAAAAAAAAATCTTAAAAGAAATAAGCTGTGAAAAATTACTTAATAACAGCAATGTGTTATAGAATCAAAGTTGAATAATAAATGAGGCGAAAAGTATGCAAGAAACGTAGGATGCTTTATATGAGTTTAAATAATTAATTTCTAAGCTTATGTATTATGTGAATGTGTTTGTGTGTGAATATTGAAGATGCACACCAATGAACATTCAATTTGAATACGGTAGAACACACATTTATCTTGTTTAAATGTGTCCCAAATTTCCGCTAACTCATTCCATACAAACAAGTGTACTTATAATTTAGTCTGCACAAACAGTTTGAAATAGTTTCTAGCATTAGTTCAATTTAGATTAAATCCATTTTCCTATTAATGTGAACCTCTAATAAATTTTTGATAGCAAAAGTATTATTGTTTACTTTTTTACTTAATTAATTAACTTTATTTACTTACTACAGATTGGCAATTTTACAGCTTTTAGCCAGGGTCTGCCTTACATGTTGTGCATAGTTTTGCATGCATAATTGTTTTTAGGTACGACCGGCCGCCTGCCTGACATCAATCCTTTTTGGGAATAATTTAAATACATATCTGTTTAATACAATATATTGTAATATTATAAAGAGGCAAATTTGTATTTTTGTTTGCGTGTGTGTAACTTTGTAATTAATAAATTCAAAACCTACAGATTTTATTTTTTTTACCACTGGACAGGTACATTCACTTGAGTAACATAGACTATATTTATTAGTAGAAAATATGACGGACCCTTACTAAAGCTTAAGTGAATAACCGAAGGTGTATTGTATTTTTTAAGTCGTAATTCCGTTCAAAAGATATTTAGAATTTAAAAGTCACAGATCAGCGACGACATGGCGAGGTGGCCAGGCTAGCCAGAAATTGAAGGGACAGGACCAGAGAGGTGCAGGTACATATATGAAATAGATAGAATCTTGGCTAATTCGTATGGTTGGCTCCCTATTCAGGGCACACAACTGACATTGAAGATTTTTGTACTGATATCGTTGCAAACTTTTTTGTTCAAGAAACAAAGTTCTCTTCTGAACAATTCATATATTTTTTATTCAAGCTTTATTATCTATTATTTATAGTATTTTCTCATTTTTTTAAATCTGGGTAATAATAATCACATACTATTAAGTAATATAGCGTCAGCTTTCAGCCCAAAATCGAGAATCGAGTGGTGAATTTTATAGCTACTGGTAATAGCTTTAAAATTAATAATCAGTATGGTCAATCGGAAAAAAATGGTCATTGGGAAACTCCTACGGGACATATAGCTGATTCTTTGATAATGGAATTAAGAGACAATGTCATAGTAGCAACATCTTTGGTTTCTCGACCATACAGTTCGCCCACATGCCACGAATTCCGTTGATTCGGACGAATTGTCGATAACCTTTATAAGGTTACATTTTCCTGTGAAGATATCGTTTGCTCTTACGATAAAGATATCACAGGGACAAACGTTTTCGATTGTTGGCATCGAACTTAAAAAGAGCTCCAACCGCCCGGGCAATTATGTATATACATATGTGCCAACATAGTACAATAGTTTGTAAAATAAAAAAAACAACTAATAGACTGCAATAAAGGTTTAAATTGAAAGTGTGTTTAAAAAAAGAGTTAAAA